GTCAATGAGGAAGATCACACAGACATCAGACAGGAAAACTAGACTTGGTCACACAAAATGTCACCCAAAGCCTGAAAATGATACCCTCATCATAAGAAAATTTCAGATGAAACATAATTAAACATAAAATGCCGGTTAAGTCCCTAAATCACTACGGTGACAGAGGAAGACAGACAGCTGCTGACACAGCATGGCGCACTGCAAACTGCAGCTGTAATTGGACATATTTCACACGAGCAAGCGGAAATCTGGCTCGTCTGTCTTGTTCTTTCTCTCCATCTCCTTGTTCTCGTGTTACTCTCTTCCTCCTCCTTCGCTAACTCTGTCTTACTCTCTCTCTCTCTCACACACACACACTATAATTGGGGGTGTTTTTTCACTCTCAGCAGAAACCCCGAAGAGCCTTGGTCCTGACCAACATGTAATTACAGCATCTTCAGAGTCTCATCCAAGAGACACAGAGAGCCCAGAGACATGGCATGGTCAGGGATTTCTAAGAATGGACTGAGAGACTTGGAGCAAGTGGAGACTCGGGGGGGGTGTGTCACTGGCTAAATTTGGTCAAACCATGCAATACAATCCTAAACTTTTCTGGCAACCATGAAAGTGGAAGATGTTACATGAAAACTGAGCATCATATTGTCTCAAACCCAGTTTGTCTGTTGCTCTGCTCATATTTTGTAATTATAATTACAGTGGCAATTTCAGAGCAATCCTTACAATTACCCCTAAGTCAAGGCTGAAACAGCATCACCTGTATTTCAAGTATTCTTCTGTAACTGCCAGTTGTATATAGACATCCTAATACAATAACATAGACAGGGTTTCATCCTGATTTTAGAAACCAAATACTGTAAATAACTTGACTATATCACTGGCAGCCAAGATGCTGAGGCATGTGCACACCTTGAACACGTTTGAAGTCAAAAACACATGTTGAGTGAGAACAAATACACATCTGTGTAGATAGAAAACAGGTACAGATTTGGAAACAAACACATCATAGTGGTTCAGACTGGTATAGCACCGGATGCTAAAATACCAGGTCATACCCAGGACAGGCAGACCAAGATTTACATTTAGAAGCAGATATGTTGGAAAAACAGTATTATCCACTTTGTTGTGGCTTAGGTAAAACACTAAAAGAGCCGACGGAGGGCTATTGTTTAAGTTTCTTTTCCTTGACCTTTGATGGAGATTCAAAAACAACATCCTGAAACAGCCAGTGAGCAGATTCCCTGCAGGCTTCACTCCAAGCCCTTCAAGCTACGGCAGCTCTGTCCTCCTCAATCATATCTCTCTTCATGGTGACCAGCCAAGTCTCTAATGTGGCAACCTTACAAATCTACCCATCTGATTCCTCACTCAACTATTATTTGTACTTCTCATCTCCCATTCTTTGCATTAAGTGGCTAATCTCTACTGCAATAGAAAATCAAAGAGAGGCATGAAAAGCATCACACCTGCAATGCGGGGAAGAAGTGCTCTAATAAATGATCCTGTACAGATCGTGTACAGAGTCAGGCCGAGCTGTTCAATGACAGCTCATTGTGAGGACCTTTTATTACTGATGATATGATGCCTGATGATTCCCTCCTCCAACAATAGAATCCAGTTATAGCGTCACTGTGTTCCCAATAACACAGAGTTCAGCGGAGATAGCTTAATTCAAGGGCAATGCAGAAATACTTTCAGTGAGTGTGTGTGCTCCAATTGGGGAAGTTTGTGAAGTCAATAAAAAGTCATAAAAGTCTATAAAACAAATAAGTTATCCCCTAAACAGTTACTGCCTTTCAGTAGCAAGAGAAATCTAGCACCTACAGTAGAGAGCAGATGTTGCGGTTTGTCGCCAGTTGAGTCAGAATAACCCAGGCCAAGAGAGGGAAGGAATAGCTAAACTGTGAATCACCTACTGCCGGCAGCTCTCCAGGAGCCAGATCCAACTGGGTCCCCCTTCCACTGAGGACAGCTCCTGACACTGTTTAATCTTATAATAGCAATGGAGTAATTCTCTGCTAATGTGTGGTCCTCCTATGGTTTAACAGCAGAACCTTCCCAAAAACCAGTGTCAATGTTTTTTTGTTTATTTTTGTCAGCCGGAAGAGAGGGAGTGTAGATTTGTGTTAAAAGGAAAAAGGAGCCACCTAATTAAAATGCATTTAAGCACATATCTCTTTGGATCAGTGTTTGCATGAGAGTATGTGCGTTTACAGGCTAGGGCTCTAAATTCATAATTTTTAAAAAGGAACAGTTTGACATTTTGGAAAATATGTAAATTCACTTTCCTGTGAAGAGTTAGATAAGAAGATTGATACCATTCTCATTTCCAGCAGCTGGTTAGCTTAGCGTAAGGCTGGAAAGATAACATTTATTGAAACACTGATGAATATGTGAAGTTTGGTTTATTTGATTAAATACATATTAAACACATTTCTATGTTACCTTAAGTAACATACTGAAAGAAGCACTATTTTGGTATCAAGACTGAAGTATTGTATTGGCAACAGTATAAAAAAACCCTCAAATGATACCCAGCGCTAGTATACACATCACATACACATACTAGCAGCATGTCACACTCGCTGTTGGAGTTGGATGTAAAAGTGAAGATGAGATCCATGGCTGACTCAGGCTGCTGTGCCAATAAGACGAGTCGCTTCAGACCTCATCCCGCTCTCCAATAGCTCTACCTCTGTCTCACAAATTGTATCGATGGGAGAGTTAAAGCACAATCAGCAATGATATTACACCTCAGCATGGGAATCTAAAAGTTAAAGTGGGGCTGTTTGTCTGAGAGCTGCAAACTGAAGATAGCATCAGAGAGAGACAAGGAGAGAGAGGTAATGAGGTGAGCAGAGGTGATTTGCCTAGAGAGGGGTGTAGAGAAAGGGCAGCAGAGAGGGGACAGGAATCCCTTTATCATCATCCTGAGGCTACGGAAGGAGGTGAGTTAAAGGGGACACGGGGAAGAAGTGGCTGGGGGAGGAAGATAAGCCCAACAAAAGCCTTTACTCAAAGTGGCTCTAAACAGGATGCCACTGTTTTTTTTGTTTTCTTCAGGATGTGTTTTTATTCACTTAACAATGGGATGAATGGCATAGCATGTTGCCCCACCGAGCTACAGTCAACAGCCCAGTGTAATCTAATAACTTGAGTTCATAAAGGTGAATTGTGTTGTTCTAAGTACAGCTAGCAGGAAAGACTCATACTCACTTGTATGTCCGGACGTTGTGCTTTGTAGCCTCTGGAAAGCCAAGCATCCCACACACAACCCTGCTACTGTTGAGACTCCAACCCAGGTCACAAACCTGCCTCCATCTCCCAGCATGCTTCACTTCCACCACACCCTCCGTGATCAGGTTTTTCCTCTTGGTAGCCATGAGGATGGGACGAAGACGGACCTCCTCGATTTGCACCTTACTTTGACCCTTGGGGAAGATGCACATCACATATACTGTTAAATGTCTAGAAAAATTATATAATATCTGATAGAAATCTATCAGAAGTTAACTTCTGTACCTGATAGTGCCTTTGTAACCTGGGGATCTCATATTGATGTCCGTTTCCATGATAGCCATATCCCAGATGCCTGCGGCTGGCCACAAGGCCCTGCCACTGAGGTGCGGGGCTGCCATTGGGCCTGGCGGCGGTGGTGTGGCCTCTACTTGCTGTCTGATCCAGCCTGCGCTCAGCGGTGCACACCACCCCCAAGTCTTCAGAGTGTTTACAGTCATTTACACCCCAACCGTTGTGTTTGCAGTCCTTCAAGGACTTCTCTGAGCCGTCACAGCGTACATTATCCATCCATATTGGGCCTTGTGAAAAGATAAACAATTCTTCATTACTTCATTCATTGTGATTTTCATTGATTGTTCAATAGACAGACTGGGTAATGCATCTACACAAGGCCCCAGAATCTGTTCCTAAACACCTAACACTTGACTTTTACTAGCACGTTGATTTAGGGTTGCACCTTAGCAGCGTGTTTAGCTGTAGACACAGTATTTTACAAGGCATAGTGCTGTTGATCCTGCTCCATGAATCCACTCAACCTTCTCTTTAATTTGGATTTAAAAGCAGCAGTAAAGAATGTACATAAACCACAGCAAGTGTTGCACAATTCTGGCAAGCAAATGCTGTCATTATTCTGAAACAAATGCCCATTTTTGGCCCATATGTTTGCTCTGCCAGCCTTCCAGGCGACCTTAATGAGATGTAGACTCCAATCCCACAACAAGTTATCTTTGTCACTTTATGATATTAGTTATTTTGGATGTCGTAATTGGTGGACTTTTCATGAAGCCAAGCACTTAGCATGGAAGTTTCAGGAGGAGACACGTTGGGATAAACTGGTCAATTAGGCCTATGGCTCCCTCCCATTGTGTCTTATTAAATCTAACATATGACTATGTTAATCTAATGGGCCCTTCAAAGCAGATATTTTGACTTGTCAAAGCAGGATAACCACATGTGTAATTTGCACAATTAAGAATGGCTCTGTTTAAGAATGGCTCTGTTTGTGATGAAGTGTCAGTAAAGCCTTCTCAGTGAGCTATTACATGCAGGACCCTGCAGCCCATATTAGGATTATCAATTACACCTGTGGTTTTCAATATGTCAAGGCCCATCACATCTTGTCTTATCACTCACATTCAGTAAATTTGGCTCAAGAGAATGATGACATTTGAATTTCTACTCTTCACTAAAAGTGGCTTAATTGTAATGTGGTAAAGGAAGTGCCCTCACCCTCTCCTTCTCCATACTTTGCGCTGTGCGCCCACGTTATACCACCCTGGAAGCCCAACTCTCGGCACACCACGTTGGCCATTTTGATGTCCACTTCATCGTCGCAGACTGTCCCCCAGGTGTTGTTGTGAAGCACCTCCACGCGCCCTTCGTGCGGTTCTCGCCCAAAGTTGCCCGCCAAACGCACCTTCGCGGCTGGTGCGCGAGCCGCCCTGCGCTGAGAGGACGTGGTCCGTCGAGGTTCAGCACGAGCGGGACAGGAGAGGGACAGCAGCAGCGTGAGGAGGAAGCTCAAGCAGAGGGTGCGGGTCATTGTAACTGAGAGGAGGGGGTCTGCAGGTGAAGGTTGAAACGCTGCGTGATTCACTTTGTTTTGTTAATTTAGACAGTTGGATTCATTTGTGTTAAATTGACCAGTGTAGTCATTTAACAGGCTTGTCAATTAAGCAGTCAGTTTAAAGCTATATATATGTAGCTATAGACTAATTTCCCTGTAATGAATATCTGTCATCACTTTCAGATACTTCCTGAGCCCTAAACTATGGTGCATTAAGACTGAGTAATTCCCTTCAACACAAGTCAAACAGCCAGTGAGAGGCTAATAACGGAACAACGGTGACATCCTCTGGACAAGTACAACCACCGGTATGCTCTTTACTGGCACTAACAAATGAATAGTGTGCTGAGACAGTTAACATCGCAGTCGTGGCTTATCTGTTCACAGTCAGACACACAACTTGACTTGTTTTATAGTCCCACATTTGATTTTAGCCACTGCTGCAGCATCAATCATCAGCCGAAACTTTTCATTCATGTCAAACATAGGCATATAATTAGGGATACATCAGCACACGTTTGTATTGCAATTCACGTGAATTAACATTCCCCAAGGCTAACTAACCAGACAGAAACACAAGGCAAGTTTTAACTGGAGGTTAACAAGTGACATAGCCAAAAAAGAATGCAGTAGTGGAGACACTGAAACACTAAATCACTGTAGGCCCCTGGACACCACTGAGCATAAAATACACAAAATCTGTTTGTCTACTGTGATGATAAAATTATAAAGGAGAAAACCAACAACAGGCAAATAGACTTTGCAGACTGGCCTCAGTAAATCATAGTGAGTACAAATGAGCAGGAATTGTATAAAGCCTTAGAGTGTATAAAGCCATAGAGTGTCGATCTGATAGTGCTTAATTCAGTGTAAGAACAAAAGTGAAAACATTTCCTCTAAATGTTTTAACTGATTTTAAATTAATCCACTTAAAAAAGAACAAGAAAAGCATCCTAACCCATTAAAACACCTGTTACACCAGCACTCGGATGCATATATATTAAAGATAACTGAGAAATCAACGGAAAATAAAACAATATTCTTTACCAAGACCAAAATGTAAAATGAGGACAAGGTAAGGTGAAAGTTCACTCACCTGGCAGGCAGCAAATGTTTGCAGTGGTGGACGTCACTGGCTAAGGGAGAGTGAGTGAGTGAAGGAGTGTGTCTACTAAATGTTCTCCTTATTCAATCCTCCCTTCTTCCCTCCTTCTCCCTAAATCCCTGCCTCCCTCCCTCCTCCTGTGCTCTCTTTCCCTCTAGGTATCTTTCTCTCATATAGAATTGATAATTTAAATGCTAAAATGTAAAGCTGGTTTATTAGGTTGCAACTTAATTGTCGTAATAATGTCCCAGCGTTGTTCCTATAAAATCTCAAAGTAATGGGTTCCCTCCACTGATGGAGGATTTGTCATTGAAACTTATTCCGTCTTTCTATCTGTGCTGACATTTGTATAATTCTGGATGAATACTTTAGCATTACTTAAGCATTGCTGAACGAGCTCAGAGATGAAACATGTGGCAAAAGTTCCAGACAGATAAATGTATCACATTGTGAATGTTTATGAAATTAGTCTCCGGCAACCACAGGACTCATCAGTTTCCGGACGGGATGTTTAGTACCTTAGCAGAAATGGATGTCATACATTATGAAACCCATTTTCATCAAGTGTTTTTCTCTGATAGGGCCTCTTTACACCTCTCTTCTCTGATAAGCAGGATGCTTTAAACAACTGTTTGCTCAGTGTTGCACAACTTTAGGGTAAACGTGTGTAAATGTACCAAAAGGAAGGACTCTGGTTCCAGAATAGTGTCTTAAAGAAGCTCCCTATACCACAGGGTAGATATTTCCTTGTTGAGATGGCCGCAAACCACCAACTCTAAAATAGGCCCAGCCTCACCGTAGCCATAGTGAATGTGACTGATGAGAACATGTCATACCACCCTTGCACAGGAGCACGTTACTAACCTGTCAGCATGGTATAGAAAGCATAAATATTGAACTCATCAGTATAGATTCAGATAAAAAAACAACGGAAGAGTTCTGTTTATGATTTTCTAGTCGGGGTCTCTTTAGTGCTCAGTCCTGATCCGACTTAGGTTTCCTCCTGATGTCTACTGAGGCATTTCTACATGTTTGAAACTTGTTTATTTTCTGAGTAATTTTGGGAGGATTTGGGACAGATTTAGCAACATGGAATTTTTTGGCCTCTGGTGTTGTGTTGATAAACTGTATTTCAGTTTTCAAGTAAACCTCAGTGGGCACCTTTTTAAGGCAGCAAGGTTTATTCATAGACATGAAAAATTACAATCATGACAGGGGAGGTAGGAACTGAAACATCAACCACAACCGTAAAAAACACTTATTCGTGTGCAGAGTTCCAACAGGGTGAAGAAAAAAATCATACGTTACATATGTGTGTATTTGTGTGCACACATGTAAACTTTGAAACTGTAATTGAAATGTTTGCGTGCTCCAGTGATGGTGCAACTGGGTGGCAGGATGGTGGTCCCTCCCTGACTGGTAAACCCGAACAGGAAGAGCAGACCCCCTATTAGCAGGGCCAAATCAGAGGGATCACCAAGGCCGACAGGGAGAGGAAATACAGAGTGTTAAAAAAAAAAAAAAGGAAAAGGGGGTTAAAATGTAACTACCATTTTTGTGTGTGTGACATGCTTCCATTATAACAGACTAATTAAACTAGACTAGACAGGTGTCCCTGCCTGTGTGCCAATACTTAACAGCTGTGTGTGTATGCTAGCGAGAGTGTGCTACAGGGCTCTCATAGGGCTCACAGGGCAAAGAGTATCTGAGCGAAGCAGCTCTCTGTAGCAGAACGCTCTCTCTCCCCACCTCTCTAATTACGCCGACCGAGGCGGCTCTGCCCTTACCCACAATCTGTGGAGGCATGAAATAAATACATGCTCTCCAACAATAAACAAGTGCCTTTTCAAACGACAGCACCTCCTCGTGCTCACCCCCACTGCTGTCTCTCCAGGCTTTCATAATGCTTTTACTTTCATACTGGCTATAGGAGCATGTAGGCACATACTGTATAGAGGATAGGCTGCACAGGTTGTAGGGCTGACAGTGCAGAGAGCTGCACACGGAGGTTGACCTTATGAGATCTAACATCAAAGGCCATCTTTGCCTTAACCCCAATACCTTCACACACCCACTAAAATCTGATAGTGGTTGAAAATCCTTAGCAGATACAGCCTAAAATCAATAACCTTAGAAGGACACGAATGATATTTTTAGGAACTGAACCAATTTAGTATTGCACTCAGGGGAATTAAAGAAGACCAAAGCTCCAGAGGCAAATATATCAATCTCAATTTTGTCCCTAGTATAAGTCTAGCTCCTAAAACATATTTTTTTCAGTGAGTAAACTAAACTTCATAGTAAAATCTGTGGAGTGGCAGCATCTTACACTCACACACACAGATTACACATTCATTTGCAAGTGGCATCAGGCTTTAGTTCCTCTCTATTCAAAATGTCATCTGTGGCAAAATGGTTGCTTTTCCCACACATTCTCAGTACTGTTAGACATGTCTCCATCTCCCACTGGTCTAGGTGGTTACAGATTCCCTAATGCATCTTTCGTGCTGGCCACACAAGTGTCTCCTATTAGTGATGACAGGGTTACCATATTCACTCCCACACCAGTCTGGTCTGCTTTGATTTACCTCTTCAGGGGTTTGAACATCAGGAATGACTTAGAGCAACATCTTAGTTCCTGAAGATCAAAAGAGATGTCTATGCATATGCTGGTTCTGTTGGTGACATTTCAGCGCAAACCTTTCACGTACAACTCTGCCGCCTTGTGGCAGGCAGGAAAACCACACACACACGTGTGACAACTAGCAGAAAAACTGCACACTTCAAACATTTTTCCAAACTTCATGTCATAACTCATGCGGATAGTCAGAAATAGGTAGTAAAGGTGGTTCAAATATATTTATTAAATAGAAAATACTTTTTTGCAGTGCTGTAACGAGAATACAAAATATCTGAAAGATTAACAGGATTGCAGCGCTGTGGATATCAATGTGTACATTTCCTGAAATAGTTTGAAACAAGGTAAAACTAATAAAAGCATACCAAATCGATACAGTTAAAGTTAGGCAATTATTTTGTTCAATTCTGAAATATTCACAAGAATACATGAAAATATTCTAAGGCAACATCCAATGCACTTCATTAGTCTGCAAAATGAAATGCACTGTGCAACCATAGTAAACAGCACCAGTCAAATAGTTTGTTAAGTGCAAGGTTAAGGTTTTGTGTCAGATTCCCTTTTCACAAGTTTTAGCCACAAGACTGAAAGTATTTCGAGAAAAGTAGAAGTGAAACATGACCGTGTTTGCACCAAATTGTTCTTAATAATGCTTGTCTCTTAAGGCCAGAAATAAACAGAAGAGGAGGCTCACAGAAAATACATTTCTGTAACCTACCATAAAGTGAAAAGACCAGTAAATTAAAAGCTGTATTCGGTTCCTAAGGTATGTTGTAAAAAATAGAAATAAAACACATAGGTATAAATAGGAAAATAAATACTCTCATTATGCTGTGCATAGTTTAGTGAACGTAGTGTGGACTTAAACCAGGTGTTGTAGCGGTAATTGTTATCTAGTGGATGATATAAATACATGTCGATAGATTTCAATGCACTGTCTAGTGTTGAAACTCATGAAAGAATAAGGCTGCTGTCTGTGCTGAATCTTCAGATAAAGCATTCTTTGGTTTACTGAAATACTGAAATGGAGACCCCCCCCGGTCAAAAACACTGAGCATGAATGTTTGTAAGGCAGTATCCTGTAGTATAAACTTGTTTGTCAATGACATCAACATGTCTGTCATGAACATCAACAACATCTGCCAGAGGTGGTAGGTGTGTGTATGTCTGTCTGGCTGCCGAGTCAGCATGGCTCTTTTGCATAGACATAAAGCACTGCAGTGCTATGCAGATGTACCAAGAAAGCATATTCTAATGCTCAGATAAAAACTTAGAAAGGCTATTCACATTTGCATATCAATGCCACATCTAAAACTGAAGAACTTCACACCTGACATTTCATGCAATCCAATACAACAAACTGTGGCCTCTCTGGCACAGTCTAACAAAAAACTGAACACTACAGCATTTATAAAGGTAGTATTTATGCAACTGGACTGCACGATACTGTCAGGCATTTCCATGACTACTTCTAACCCCTATGTATAGTTATGATGGAAATGAGTCCTCCATAACTTGTCATGACTGTCAGCTAATAGGTAAAGATAATAAATCCATGCATTAACACGTCATTTTGCACTCCCTCAAGTCTATGTACCCACCAATGATCATCTTAACTAAAGCTACATAGCACAGTGTTATAAAAGAAAAACCTCATCTACACAGGGGAGGGATTAAAATGTCAAGTACATATGTTGGGAAGTCTTTGGTCTGGTGGACAATGTGCTGATATTTGTGCAGGAACAACAAATGGCAGACGGCATGAACCGCAGATTCGTGAGCAGTTGTGGGCCAAGGATAAACCTAAACTATTCACAAACTGCAAGTTAAAGTATTCTCAAGTCACTGTAATTAAAATGGGGAGAAGCACTGCTTTGTGTTGGAATTTCTAAAGGAAGATATCCAGGATCATCACCAAAGATGATGATGGTCAGAAAAATCCATAGAGTCCTTTCATTACTGCTGTACACAACAGAGTCATTATTTTGTATTTTCAATAGTGGACCAAGGCAGTTTCAGTTCTTCGTTATGTTGTTGGCCTGTGAGGTTTGGTTGTATCCCTTAAAGCGGGATTAGGTCACCATGTGCCATGAAGGGCTGCGATTATAAAGGTTTTCATTCAAAACAAAGACAACACCAATATTGTTCAATATTGTCTTTGGTTGAAATGAAAACCTTGATGCTCCCAGTCCTTTGTGGCACATGTGTGCCTCTCCCTGCCTTAAAGCCTGAGTGCTGGCTTTGATCCACTCTGCAATACTAAGTATTCTCAGCCCAGAGAACCTGGTCCAGTATGCGCCAGCTCCTTTGGCTCAGTCTGGCATCCCAGTTTCCTGCACACTACTGGGGCAGAAAGAAAGCAGAGTTCAAGGCTGCCAAGGCTTCCTGTCCTTGCCTTTCTGATCAGGAATGTGTTTGTAGCGACATTTGTCTCCAAAATGGCAGCCAGTGGTTCTCCAAAAGTAACACTCGTCTCCATTCACTGGGCCACGTCGTCGAGGTCTGGCCAAAGAGGAAGATGACAGAGACAAAAGACACAGAGAAAGCATTTTAAGTATTAAAGCAGTTAAAACTGCAGTCCTGTTGCAGGTTTTCAGTGAAATAGAGATTTTCTGAAGTACTTAAGTGCATCTTACCCAGCAGCTGCTCCTGCCTGCTGTGTGAAAGAGAGACAGGTCTTAAGTGGAATGGGAAGGACCCTCTGAGTGCGACGGTCAGGATAGCGCACCACTAAACGTGTGTTCTCAATACAAAAACCCTGTGAGAGGAAGCATACATGCAACTCTAAGTCTATAACAATGTTCCTTCAACAGACACAAGACTGAGAGAGGTGAACCAAATAAGTACTCACATTTAGTTTTTCCATGGCATGAGCTGCCATGTTTGCATTCTTAAAATTGACAAAAGCACAGAATCTCTCATGTAGCACACGGATACTCTCTATCTCTCCATACCTACAATGGAAAGTAAACAACTTCACACACACAACTCAATAATCACTTATGTAAAATAGAGGCGCACACACACACACGCACACACACACCTGTGTGCTGAAATGTCTTTACAGTTTTTAAATTAGAAATAGAAACATTGTGCTTATATGGACTGATTTGTAGTCATACATTAGGTTAGTATCAAATATTTTACTGGACAAAGGTCATACATTTTAAAAAGGTCCCACAGGTGTTTCTCTGTTAGCTCAGTTGTCACATTTCCCACCCACAGAGATGGGCAAGGGCTTCTGAAGGAAAAAGAAAGAATGTGACTGAAAGCAATAAAATCACAGTTCAGATACATCATTTGTCTTCTCCAAAAGAACACTAAAATGTTTCAACCTGTAGAGACAAATGTGTATAGTAAGGTAAACAATATCCATTTTGGCCACAAGAGAGGCTACTAACCCTTCTGACGCCTAGCTTTGATTGGAAAAACAAATGGTCACCTACCCCGGCAGCACAACTGATGGATCTTGGCTTCCAGCTGCAAGACAAAAAGAGTTTTATCAATAGCAAGAAAAAGGCTGTATGATTTTAGCACATAGCCCATTTCTGCTCTCCAGTGTTATAAAGAAAAAATGCAGACCCTTTATATAATATATGTACATGTGGTTATACCCCTGGCTGCATCAGAACAAGATGCCAGAACAGCCTGCACAGTTGAAAATTTCTCCAGCAGTAGGACACTTTGAACTTCTTCAAAACCGAGCTCCTGTGGAAATAACAGAGGAAAAATGTATAACATCCATCCATCCGGTTATTTTCATTCACAAACAAGCTTACAAGAAACTTTTTGCAACTTTGTTTGTGGGTGTATTTACCATTAACTGCAGCACTTTGCAGTTAAATAGGTCATTGACAGCCTCTTCACAGTCTTTATCCAGTTTCAGCACCTGCTCCATAGCCCTCTCTGCCTCACTGTACCGCTACAACACACAAACACCCACAGAAATGAGTGAGTAAAAGCTACTGCTATTGCAAAGGCTTAAGTGTGGAGCTATTCTTCAGCAGATAGTGCTTTGATTACATTATCTATCTCTCTCTCTCTCTCTGGACCACAGTAGCCTGGACCCACCTTCATGCCCATGAGAGCACTTCCCTTGCGGAAATGTCCTTTGGGCCAGTCTGGGGCCTGCTGAATGGAGCGTTCAGCATCTGCCAGGGCCTGAGGGTACTGCTCCAAGCAGTAATAGCAATAGGAACGATTCCCAAAGAACCTACAGGACATTATATCAAAAAAAATGCAAAAGGAATATGTTACATGTGTTTACAATGTATGCACTCCCTTGTAATAAACTACTCATAACCACAGATGACATACCTGTAATCCTTTGGGTCACATTTGATGGCTTCTGTAAACATACTGACTGCTTGTGTGTACTGGCCCTCTTGCACCAACTTTATCCCCTTTTCTGTCAGACAGAAAAAATGCTTATAAATAATTCTCTGGCGAGTCAGTAGCCCAAGGGCTCAACTGACCACAGTACAAAGGAATATGTGATCAATAATTTCCTTGTAAGCTCTGCTTCTTTTTCAATGAATAACCTATAACCAAATGTATGGTTATATACTCCGCTATCCAGAAATCATCTCTTACCTGTCAGTGACGCACTTTTCTTGGTCATGTTGTCAATTCCGTTTGTCTGTAAGAAAAATATTATTTTCATCGGTTCATCAACTTCTGAACATTCTGAACAGGGAATGCTCTGATTTGATTTGCCTTTGCAAATCAGATGAGATGTGTAAAATAAATATGTTTACTGCTAACAAGAGAACAAATATGCACATATATAACAACTACAGAGACAAAATCAGCTTTTAAAAGTTTCTAACAGCTGGTTGAGTGTTTTACTTTAATGCATCTCCTTTGTTTTGTCACTGAAAAATGCCAACACACAGTAGTCTTTATAGTATTTGTTTTTAACAACTAAAGCAAGAAAAAATGCCCATGGTCTAAGCTTCATCCTACATCTGAGAGAGAGTAGGTCAACACGCACATACACACACACACATTCCAACAACTGTTGTAAAGGCTTTCGTGGTCCATAGTCTCGGACTTTGGAACTGCTGCCACAAGAAAAATAGTGGACAGTTATGACGGGAGCTCTTGCTGTACTCATCTTACATTATCTATTAGCATTCATTCACCTCTCTCCTGGCCTCATTCTCCTTGTTTTCTTTGGACTTGCGACTTGATCCTTTGGGTTTGATATGGCTAGCAGCATTAGCAAAGAAGGCACAGCTCACATCCCACTCTGGCTCCTTTGGGACACAGAAAGTCAGACATTGGTGTTCAATCATGTGCCATCCAGACCTACAAGCACGCAGGCTGTTCTATCAAACAAATACTACACCAACTGATTTACTGACCTAAACTAGAGATGTGGTCATTTATGGTGATACTGTACTGTTTACCTGGAGTGCATACTTGTGGGCACCTGGCTAAAAATGAGAGCAACAGAAGATTCACACATGCATAATACTTGAGTATGGTGCCCCAAACCTCTTCAGTGGATCTGGCTTGGGTCTTCTGATGTCCTTTCATTCCTGAAGGAGCCATGAGAGGAGCGGCAACACACTTATTTGAGGCAGCCGAGTGTCCGTCCTTTTCCTTCTCTTTTTGCACTCTTTGTTTCTCCTCTTCAGCACCAACTTCCGCTTCTGACTCGCTCTCGTCCAGTTCGGACTCTGCACCTCCATCCTCATCTTCATCTTCCTAATGTGTAGGACCATATAAATGTCCAGTTATTCACAGTAAAGCAGAACATAGAGTTCATTCCTGCAAGGAATAATGTGATTGTTACCCGTTCAGCACTCTCATCTTGCTTCACCTGCTCCTGCTTCTTACGTTTTCGACGGCGCTGAAACAGATGCAGTACTTGACACATCAGAAAATGCATGACTTTACCCATCATACATGGCATATTAGACTTCCACTTGCTAAAAATGCAGCAACTAGGATGTTTTCGGGATTTCTGTGCTCACCTTCCTCTTGGCTTTGCGTCGCTCTGCTCTCTGTCTGACCTTCTCCTCCTCACTCAAATCCTGCTCTCCATTTAATGCAACCTAAACAAACACACACAGAGTTGAACATTGCACATTGTACCTTCACCACTGCAGTCTTGACAATGCCCTGTCGGTCTGACACCATTTGTTTACCTGTGACAAAGTGGCATTATCACTTGGGTCAGTTGCGGCACCACAATGCATCTGTTCCTCCTGCTGCTGGACAGGGGTACCTGTTTGGAAATACACAGCACATCAGTGCTTAAGGACCTGATTACAGCGTCTTCTGCTGTCTTAAATTTTCAGCACAGCTATTCATTTTTAGACTTTCAGACAGATTTTGATATTTGAGGATTTTAAAATCTTTTTTTTTTTATGATAGATCGGCTGATTTCCTTCTCCTTTTCAGAAACACAAACAAAGATTATCCGTAACATTTGTTATGTGTAGTTATGAGATCTCATCAAGATAACACAACATAATGCAGCTAAAATAAGTGTTTTATTGTTGTAAATAGTACTTTGAGCACAAGTACTGCTGATTCCTGTGTTTTTGGTGGACTTGTGTGTTGCCAAAAGGGGAGCTGCAGTGTGCCCTCTGGTGCCACTGCCGTCTATGCAATGACCACACTCATGATGACTCAACGTGATTGAAGAATCCGTCTTCTGTGTCTGTTTCTTTTTTAATTGTCATTTATCAGTGTCTTTTTGTTATAAACACAGATATCGATTTATGTGCAATGAGCTCGAATCAGCACACCGATTTAGCAGTTGGGCTCTAGTCATTGTTTACACACATTATGTTCTGATCAGATGGTAATGTGTAGCTAGGTAAGAATCTTTCACATGCCATCAGCTATAAAGACTTAACAGAAGGAGCACGCATCTCTTATGAAGTCACTATATATTTACACATCTGCACAACTAAAAGTATGCAGACCATGATCTTTGTATGTGTTCTAACCTGACATCCAAAAGAAACTTTGATTGTCTGGATGGCAAATAAACATGTTCCTCCTACTTATCCACATTCAAGTCTAACCATTATGACCTTTGATAAGTGAAAAAAAAATCCACATGGCATTGGTTGGAGACAGGAAAGATGGTGTAATGCTTTCTTATGATAAAAATAGCCAATAAAGCTCATCATGAGACAACAAAGCACACGGAACAAAGAACGGCTCAGTGAGATTGCTTCAAGTTGTTTCTTTTCGGTCTTAAGAGGAGATTTTTACCCAGCATGCAAACACACAGCTGCCTTGGGAACTGCTGTTTGAGAACATGCAATCTTTTCGCAGAAACTTGGTTGAATAATGACAAGCATGGCCCTGTGCTTGTTGGGAGGTGGGGGGCATAGATCAAATCAAACCAAAACCTTACAGCTGATTTAGGCCTAATGGCAGCAGACAAATAACAAGACAAAAGCAAGCAAAACACTGGAGTATGCAGGAATATGTGGTGTCAGATTTCCATTTGTTCAGCAAAGATTTCCAGAGGAGTGACAAATTCATACTTGGTGTGTGACTCATGTTGTGACTCGTGAGGCATTTATGTGAGTGACTGCAACTCTCCTAGTGCTTAATACAGTTTCCCATCTGTAGGTGCAAGCTCTGTGTCTTGCATGCTACATTTCTTGTGGGAAAAAAGAAGACAAGCAGCCACTGGACTTCCTCATTCTCTCTGTCGGTTATAGGGTACTGGTCATGATACTAAATATATGATTAGACAACAACTACAGTCACTATCTAATCCTGTTGCCTAAACTATCCGGCCATGTTTACATCTATCAAACAGAGTCTCATTGGCTTTATTAAAAAGTTCACCATTCTACCACTCCAAGGAGCTGGTGTCTCCAAACATACACAGAAAAAGTGGAAGGAATTTCAGCTGGCCGTGTCTGGCTCACTACTCAAATGTCAAGGAACAACGACAGCTCCATCCAATTAGCTGAATCAGGCTTTTTGTTAGAACTTAACTATAATGGAATGCCCTCCTAACAAATAAATCATCCCAGATCCGTGGACAAAAACAACAGACCAGTCTCTGTTTCTTCCCTTCAAGGAGACTGCCTAAATTAGTGTTGAGCTGAAAGGTGAGCTCCTTCCACAGGAATGCAAACTAACTGTATCATCGTGGACTGGAGCTTTAACCAGGAAATCAGCGTCACAGCTCTTTTTCTTTACTGTTCTTCAACACAGCATTACAGAGGAAGTGAAAGAGAAAGAGAGCATGACTATCATTAAAACAATCACAACTCAATCAGGTGTCAGTGGTTTCAAGTGATTGTGAAAACTGACACAGGTTAATACAACATTTTAAATAGTAACATGCTTAGTGATTCATCAGTCTGTCACAACACAGTGCATGGCTGCAAGGTACAACTCGTGTGTATGGAGTTGAGTCTTTCCAAAGTTAACATTGGCATGGACACTTTGTGACCTGACAGCTCAGCTTCACTGCAAAAAAACACACAAAAGAAGACAAATATTCCAGTTTTCTCTCCGATGCGAGTTAACCTGGACCCATTAATGTGTGATATGACATTTAAAGAAGCACTATATTTGGAGACATGTCATAGCTTATATATAGCCCATCATATCATCATTAATACAAGTTCCTATCAAGGGTGTTGATAAAGGTCTTCTGGAAAGTGCATCCGCCTCTGAAGTGGTTTTAACAGCAAAGTCTGTAAACTAACCTGCTCTACAAGAAAACTAAAGACACATGTAGAAGAAAGAAGAGGAACAAAGTGTGGGCACATGACATATTTAAAGCAACATACCATTTGTGCCTCATATAACTTTAAATGTATTACTAAGCAAGTTCTAGCCTACAGGGCTTTTCCCACCTATTTGAGGCATTGTTTTCATTCCAACATGCACAAGGGAATGGACCTCTAATCTGCATTCGTTTGAGTGTTTTATGCACATCCCATGCTAAATAACGACACTTAGTCTTGCAAGCTCTGTTTTTACTGGCTTTATGAAAAGTCTGTGAAAGTGTTTTTTAGTTACGTTATTATAACTTCTTGGCACCGACTACGCAAACTTGGAAGTGGTGCAAGCAAGGGTGGAACTGGCAAGAGAGGAACTTTCATTGTTTGACCACTAATCCAGTATGAATCTCAGGACAAAGACAACTACGAAACACCACTTGAAATATCGTTTAATAAACCACGTGTTAGACATTATGAACATTATCGATTCATCGTTTCCTTGTCAGACGCGTTCCTTTAACCACTTACGGGATCATTTGAACTTGCGGTCGAGTTTAGAAAGTTTTGAAAACGGGACGTTTCTTACCGCTCCCGAGTCCCAACAGCCTGCATATGTCTCTGGTGAATTTCATGAGCGCAACCATCCAGCATTATCGTCTCAAATATCCCACAAAAAGTATTTAAAGAAAGGTTTAGGTCAGTGTGAACACGTTTGTAACATTGGGACAATCGATACCGAATCTGCGGGAACCTTTTGGTGGTTTAGTCCACTTCCTGAGCGTCAAGCGCCGACGCTAGATACACCCTGGGCAGCGTCTTAAAGGCACAGGACACCGCCATTGAATATTGAACGATAGATCTTAACCATACACAACTAAAGGAATCACACAAAGCAAAGCACACAGGCTTGGAAATCTGTAGTGCACTTAATACAGTTTGTGTAGGGTTTGGCAAAATAAATAAATAAATTAGGCTCTATGTAGTTTGAACGGTCTTTATTGCCATACTAAATAGACACATTATTATTCCACATGGGGGAAACCAGTTTGGTCGCCCATGCACAATTATATTGGTCTTTCAACTTACCCCATCAGTTAAAGAAATATTAAAGTAATGGTTTTATGACAATTGAAATTGAATTGAAATTGGTTTTCTGAAACACTGAGCACACAGAAAACCCATTATACCACTTTCATCATCAAACATTAACTTAATTCTAACATTACTTTAATTGTTGTTTCACATTTATACTAAAAGACTGAACAGTGTCCTGTAGATAAAGATGTCCCTTTCACATAAGGACATTTTGACATGACAAAAAAAAGCACAGGTGTCAGTAAGAAAATCAGCGATGGTTGGATTCCATTTAGCTGCTTCAGTTTCAGGGTCCTGATACTTACCGGGATACTTAAACAGAACAGGGCCCATGTTAATGTTATTAGTATCAGCTGTGTTTTCCCACCACAACTAGTCAAAATGCCTGCTGTGAAAATTATTTTTTAGATTTCTATCCTGATATCCTAAAATGTCACATCAATCCCTCACAATATGAAACACGCCAATAGTCATTATGCATAGTTTGAAAAAATGAAACACATTTGCTTGAATTCATTTGAATCCCTTCATACAAGGTTGTAAAAAGCATAGCAAAAACATTTCCATCATTACACTAACAGTTTTAGTTCATTTCATTAAGACAAGTATGAGTTATTCTAAAAATGTATTTGCTGTCTTCAACTTTGTTTTGTTGGTATCAGTGATTTTCAATGACTTCAGAAGTGCTGTCACAGCTGGATATTGGCACAGCTGGTGTGGCAGCATTGCGTAATTGTTTTCACAATGAGCCTGAAAAGCCTTGTGTATTGAGTCATGTTTCATTGACGTTTCAGGTCAGCCATGACAGTGAGTGCTGCATTCCAGCCGGGAGAACCCATCACACCACCACCTAAAAAAATATTTAAATCAACATAAAAAATGGACACGAATGAGTCAGTCTTGTTCTGTGTAGGGAAATCAGAAACAGTTTACTCAGCCATCTAACATCACCAAGTGACTTAATTTCTTTATCATCAGCAGCAAAGATAAGCTTTCATCCAAAGGTCCAAATTTACTGCTCTTCCATCACCAGCCAGCATAGCATACATTGTTGTATTTATATTACACTACAAAATACACAACAATTTTTTTTTTATTGCAATTCAATATTCAGCTGAGGGTTCAGCATATAAAACAAACCTGGATGACAGCCGCTGCCACACATATACAGCCCTTTAATTGGTGAACGATAGTCTGAGAGAGAGGGCAAAGGTCGTGCTAGGTAGAGCTGGTCCAGTGACATTGATCCATGGAAAATATTCTGTCAAGATAAGACCAAAATGTTTTTTTTTTCTTTTTGTTGCTTGATAGAATTATGTGATTATGACAAAAGTAGGATGTAATTTGTTTAATGACTGCTTCATAAAACTCATATCATTCAGTGAGCTATTGTCACTTCACACAGTTGGTGTGAACTTTGATTCTCACTCACGGGTTGTGTTACAACTGTCTGTAACCATTAACTGCTTAAATTACAGGTCTGTCCCTGAGAGGATAGTGAATGACAGAACTCTGCTGAGGACATAGATTACTTCCTCATCCAGTGAACAATTGATTATATCAAATAAATCACATGTGTATCAACATTAAAATTGCTGGTTAGTTTGGCAATGTATGCAGTGTACAGAATGTACCCCTCCAGTCAGCCCAAAGATTCTCTCCAGGTCAGGCGGAGCCAGAATGTCTCTGCCAACCACAGACTTTTTGAATCCAGGGGCGTATTGTTCCACCCAGTCAAATGCTGAAGACACAGACAAACACATTCTTTATCACTGAAACAGCTTAATCATTATACATTATACACTGAGTGTCAAAACACTGTTTATCAATTTTGGAAAATAATACTTTCCAAGTTTCACCATTCAACATTTAAAAATGACAGATTATGGCTTCAAAATAGAACAGTTTCTAAGTAAATTCTCGTTTTCAAAAGGTGGATATCTCATTTTGGAATAAAAATTTGCCTTTACAATGCTGCCATCATATAATTACTTATTTTTATCAGTTTAAGATCAGATTCATGCAAAGCATACTAGAACTTGTGTCCCTGATCAATAAATGAAGTAGAAATGCACAATTGGAACTATAAGAAGTTCTGAATCATTGTGTGTTACCAGTGTCTGCGAAGGCCTCTCTGTCCTGGTTTGTCCACTCCCTGCTGTTTATGTGGTAGGGCGTGTATTGGGTGAACAGTGACACCACGTGGCAGCCAGATGGAGCCAGAGTAGGATCCAACACAGAGGGGATGGTCATCTCTAGCATGGGTCTACAGGAGTAGAGGGACATGATGAGGCAAGATGGAGGGCAGTGAAGGGTGGGTGACTCTTTGATGAACATTCGGAATAAGAGAATGTAAGAATATAAGTTTGTTTTTTTTAAAGAAACATTATGAGAGCTAAGAAAACAACTTCATTAATCAAGATTGGAAATGATTGACGTTGGATATTGCTTTTGGGTAAAAGTTACGTGGTCAGCAGTCTGCAAACAAAAAAAAAAGTTTTTAAACTGATGTATAGACACACAAGAGAGTTACTGCATGCTGACATAAATGTGTGGAGACAATATCTACTACAAGGCACACAATCTTATGTTTTTAACAATTGAGATACATAGGCTAAATTATAATTATAATTTTATAACACGCACCTAACACTCTGTCCTGTACTCTCTACAGAAATTAATGTTTTACTAGCTCTTATGTATGAAAATATGTGCTGGATCATTTATTGAAACGTGAACAAATGTTTACCACCAGTAATATCTCTTGCAGTTAAGAGAAAGTGTTATGTGTCCACTTGTGACGATATAATTATGTACCTTGATGAGGGACGTCCATTCATGGCCTCTTTATATGCACTCTCCAGTACGTCCACACTTTCACAGTTGAGGTGAATGGAGCACTGATGGTGTGGTCCAGGTCTATCATCTGGTGTGGGAGATGCTAGGAAGTTTGGTAGCTTGTCCACTGCCACTGTGAAATCAGGTCACAACATAGAAAATAACATGGAATCAGTATCATCTGCTGGTTCCCTAGTAAATCACATTAAGCCTGTTGCAAAGAACCTTGGTGTCTGGTTTGATAGTAATTTAAATTTCGAGCAGCACACCACAAAGCTTGTTCAATCATGTTTTTATCAACATAGAAATATAGCAAAAATTCGATCTATGTTAACTTTTAAGGACACCGAGACCATTTTACACGCCTTCATCTCATCACGCCTGGATTATTGCAACAGCCTTTTCACCTGTTTAACCCAAAAATCTACTGATCGACTCCAGACTGTCCAGGAACTCAGCTGCCAGGCTTTTAACCAGAACAAAGAAATATGACCACATTACTCCAGTGTGTTTTAGAATTGACCCTTCATGGCCTCTCGCCTTGTTATATTTCTGACCTTTTAGTCCCATACACACCAGCACGTACCTTGAGATCCTCGGGCAGAGGTCTGCTACCTGTTCCAGAGTCTCGACTGAAAAAATAAAGGGGACAGAGCGTTTGCTCTCAGGGCCCCGAGGCTCTGGAACAGCCTGCCCGAGGAAATCAGGTCGGCTGAGTCAGTGAACTCTTTTAAGTCCCTTCTTAAAACATACTTTTATAGGAGAGCCTTTCCCGATCTTATTTGACTTTATTTTATCCCTTTTATTTTATTCTATTTTACTTATTTTATATTTATCTTAAACGTATATTTTAGTCTTTTCAGTGTTTTCTTGCTTTTATCTTGTATTGTTTTTGTATTATTGTCTTTTGGATATTATTGTCTTTACACTTGTTAAAGCACTTGTTTGTTTGAAAAGTGCTCTACAAATAAAGATTATTATTATTATCATTATTATTTGCTCTAAGATCATTTATCATTTTATGTGTGCATTTGTATTTCTGTTTTTGGTACAACAAAGTGTGTGCTTAAGTTTCAGTTTCCTAAATGTTTGAATGACAATTAGGGCTGTCAGCGAATGCAATATGTGTTTGTGCTTAACACTGCTCAATTTCTTCACCTTAAGAAGCTAAGACTGTTACAATAAATTCAACAAAACAGAGTAGACTATCATTATGTCTAAAAGCAATGCACTGTAAAGGATCAGACAGGAGTAAAGACTTCCAGAGTAATAAAGCCCTACAGCTCAGGCTCTACTATAATTAACAAGCAGGAGCTACAAATGGCACCACACAGGAAGCTGAAGAACTCCAAACATCTTCTTAGTTCTGTGTGCTTTACACAGTTTTATATTACCCCAAACTTCGAAACTCATGTTTAGAGTACTAAGAGCTTAGACATTGACCTAATCTTACACTGTAATAATATACAGTACTCAATCATGGAGGAGTAAGAGCTGATCCCTTGTGATACATGATGTCTTTTTGTTTGTTTGTTTGTGCATTATTGCCAAGTCTCCATTGTCTTACACCTTAAAACTTCTTTGCTCAACAAAAAAACAGACCAGTAGTAAGTATGACTAAAGAATGCAGGGTCTCACCTAAATATCTTGAACATATGGCTAAGAAACAGCTTGCCCAGAGATAAGACAATGAGCCCAGTAGCTTACTTTTGAGGCTTACTGCAACACTAAATATTATCATGCTCGAAAAGTTGTCTCTCCTCAGGAGTGGTAACGTTTTATATCATTTTAATCAGCACATTTGGAAACAATTGATAATATCCTCCATTATTTTTAGCCGTCAAAA